CACACACACACACACACACACACACACACACACACGGCATCCAGGAGCCTTGGAATTTGAAAAAGTGGGATTATTCATCCAGCAAATATTCAGCTTGCTCTGTGCTGGGGCACGGAGACCACAGCAGAGAACGTGCCCTATGAAGCGAGCAGTCCACCTTCTCTCTCATTGCTTTCTCTAGGTCCATATTTCCGTGGTTGCCAACATTAACCACCATCGACCTCAGTTTCTGGAGTCTCAGTATGAGGTCAGGGTTCCCCAGGACACACTGCCTGGGGTTGAGCTTCTCCAAGTTCAGGCCACAGATCAAGACAAAGGCAAAGGTCTCATCTACACCATCCATGGCAGCCAAGACCCAAGAAGTGCCAGTCTCTTCCAACTGGACCCAAGCAGCGGTATCTTGGTAACTGTGGGGAAACTGGACCTGGGCGCAGGCCCCTCCCAGCACACACTGACAGTGATGGTGAGTCAACTGAGAAATCAGGAGGTTGTCCCAAAAGCAAGTGCATGGGGATGGACACCATTGGAGGGGCCAGAGGAGCCAGTGTCCCAATGTCCATACGACACGTGACATTTCAGACCTGGCTAGAGGGACCTCCCATAAGGAATGCCTGGCAGTGAGGATAGGAGATGGCTGTTTTTCCTGGACTCACCCCGGATAGCTCCGAGCTACCCTCTCCCTGCTCCGTGACCACCATGTGGATTCACACGGTGTCCGAGGTGGAAGGGGTCCAGAGGCTATCCCACCCAGGGGCAAGAGAGCTTTGTAGGGCACCACACGTAAGAAGGTACTCACTGGTGTCAAAGCTCAAGGACACAACTTTGAGCATGAGCGCCTGCATCAGTTCGGCCCGTGTCTTGCCTCGCTCTCGCTCTCGCCCCAGCCCGGGTCTGTGGTGTCCGTGGGGCCCACGGCACAGGGGCCTGTCCGCGGAGCGGTGCCTCTCTTTGTGGAGTCCCTGCGTGTCAGCTTCGTCTCTCTGGGCGCATTCCTATATGGATACATTTTACGTAATATGTGCAAAAGCTAACATCGTAATGAAAAATTTCCCCACCAAGAAAACCGCTTAACTTCATTTAACCTGGTGTTCCCCAAATTTGACCGGCCGTATGTCTTAGGGTCTTAGTGCGGCTCTGACAAAAAGACCACAAGAGAAAGGCTGTGAAGGACAGACATGCATTTCCTCACAGTTCAGGAGTCTGGAAGGCCCATTCAGGCCATGGCTCGGGCAGAAGATCCTTTTTTGGGGCACAGACCCAGGAGCCCCTCGGTGTTCTTGGTATTCCTCAGCATTCCTTGGGCTCGGTTGTCCGCTTGTGCGCGCCCGTTGCTGGGCTGCTCTTTGACAGCTCAGAGGGCATTAGGTTTAGGACCCGCTTAACTCTGGTATGACCTCATTAACATAACAAGAGAATCTTTTTTTTCCAAATAAGGCCATGCTCACAGGTACAAGGGCCAGGACCTCAATTTATATTTTCTAGAGCACATAATTCAAACCCTGCCATCATTGAGTTTTTTCCCCCGCTACATAACAAACATGGTAGAAGGAGCCCTGGTAGTATAGTGGTTACATGTTAGGCTCCTAAGCACAAGGTCAGCAGTTCAAAACCACCAGCATCTCCTTGGGAGAAAGATGAGGCTTTCTACTCCCATAAATAGTTGCAGTCTAGGCAACCCACAGAGCAGTTCTGTTCTGTTCAGTAAGGTCCCTATAAGTTGTAATTAACTCTATTGCAGGGAGTATAACATATTAATATCTTGAAGAACTAATACTACTAAAGACTAATTTAGGAAATACTGAAGTACTAAGTACACTTCTCTGCTCATTTCCTCCTAAGGTGGAATTGCCCATTAAAATAGCTAAGCCCAATAGCTGCTAGTTGCTAAATTTGTTAAAAAGATATTTTAAAAAAGAGCATACATTGGAACAATATTTAAAAGAATGCAGAGAATTACATCTGGGTATATTTTTCATTCTTGTTGTATTTCATTGCCCTTAAACCAACGCTGCCTCCTCCTGTACCTCTGTGGTCCCCTCCGTGCCCTTTGGGGCCCACAGGTCCGAGACCAGGAGATGCCAATCAAGAGGAACTTTGTGTGGGTGACTATCCACATGGAGGATGGAAACCTCCACGCACCCCGCTTCACCCAGCTCCACTATGAGGCCAGAGTTCCTGACAACACAGCCCCTGGCACAGACCTGCTACAGGTCCGAGCCCTGGATGACGACCGGGGAGCCAATGCCGAGGTCCACTACTCCTTCCAGAAAGGTGAGAGCCCGGGCCATGAGTGGAGCTTTGGGAAGAAGGGAAACAGCAGAAGCAAACGAATCAAGCGTCAAACTCTCTACTCCACTTTGACAAATCGTAGTTTCAAACCGCTCCACAGAATGATAATGACCTCGGTTAGCGCACTTCCAAAGATGGTAATAACCAAATCACAGCGAGATTGGCTCAAACTGTGGGCACACTTACATATATATCATACTGTATAAACCTACCTCTGTCTACACAGGTAAACCAAAACCACGCCAGACTCGCTGCCACGTACTTGATTCTGATTCATAGCGATCCTATAGGACAGAGTAGAACTGCCCCGGTGGGTTCCAGAGGTTGTAAACCCTTATGAGAGCAGAAAGCCTCCGTTTTCTGCTGTGGACTAGCTGATGGTTTTCAACTGCTGACTTTGTGGCTAGCAGCCTGGCCCACTGTGTAGGAAGTCCATGCAACATTTTCAAATGTGACAACTTTGTGCGTGTGTGGTAGCAATCGCCAGTGGCCATGAAGTCACCCACAACTCATGGTGAGTTACAATGGAACTGCACTGCATAGGGTTTTCAATAGCTGGTTTCTTAGGCATAGTTTGCCAGGACTTTATTCCAAGGCACCTCTGGGTGGGCTTAAATCTCCAAGTTTGTAGTTAATAGCTGAGGGCACGTTTGCACCAACCTGGGACCCCATGTACGAGTCCCTTACAGGATGCAAGGTATCGTTTGAAGAGTCATTTCCATTTTTTGCTAATGACACATCATTACGTAACATCTATGATATGGTTCTCCTTATCTCAGAAATGAGAATAACATTACTTGTGCCACAAAGGCTTTCTAAAGACTGAAAGCAAAATGGTATGGTGACATATATTACAAATGGTAAAATAGCACACAGGAGTCAAGGATTATTATGCTCATTGGTACATGTTAATTATTATCACTAACTAATTTAACAAAATGATAATAAGTAGTCTTCCATAAATTATTAGTGAAAATGTATGGTGGTCAGCAATGCATAATTAATGGTATTTAGTAACGATGGTTAGCTTTAGTAGTAACGAGTGCTTCACGGAGCTGGTGCTGTGAAGAGACAAGGGTGAGCCTGTCTTGCTCTCCTCCCTCACAGAACAAAACGCTCTTCTGTGGCTTGTCGGGTTCCTGAGACTGTTAGTAAATTAGAGCCTTTGCAACATTTTAGCAGAAGGAGAAAGTATTGTACTTTCTCAGATGGTAGCACTCTGTTCATCTTTGAAGATTAACAGTAAAAATTAAAATCCCTTTACTGATTGATTTTTGTGGTTTATGAAATAGAATCATACCTTTTATCCTATTTATCTCACTTACAACACTATTGATCCAGGCAATAGTTTTATTTTACAGACAAGAGGATTTTGAAAATACTTTTCTGGTTATATACAAAGTAATTTGTGCATTTTTAAAAAGGGAATAAGAGCAGTAGACAGAAATCCATGAAAAAGAAAATAGCACGCAGTCTTGATTTTCATTACCCAGAGAGAGTAATTGGGGGCATATCCCACACATCTTTTTTTCTATGCAGCCATTTGCAATATTGAGATTATCACAAATATACAAATCTGTGGCCCGTTTCCTCTCCCAGCAGTCTAACTGGCGGAAGTGCAGTTTGAATTAGGCAGGTGCTCAACTAGGTGGCGCAAACTGTGCTGGACTGCTCTTGCAAAGGTTGGTGGTTCAAACACACCCAGCCCCAGCCCCAGAGAGAGGCTTGGTGATCGCTTCCTGACAGATCACAGCCAAGAGAGTGCTATGCGGTGGTTCCAGGCTGACACTCACGGGGCCATCCGTTGATGGGGGTGGGTTTGTGGGTTTGTTTGCTTGTTTGTTCGCTTTTAATAGTCTCTATGCCATGCTAATCCAGATTGGCACGGAATGTGGCCCTGGCGCTGCCCACGTGTGTGGGATAAACTCTTTACTCATCTAGAAAGCTGGAGGTTGTGATGAAGTTTGTCTTGTCTTCTGTTTCAGGGAACAGCAAGGGTTTCTTCAGCATCAACACCCTGCTAGGCCTTATCACGGTGGCCCAGCAACTGGGTCAGGTACATCATGGTCAGCACACTCTGACCGTGAAGGCGGAAGATCAAGGCTCTCTGCAGCGCCATGACCTAGCCACAGTGGTCATTCACGTCTACCCCTCAGACAGCAGCGCCCCTGTCTTTTCAAACTCTGAGTACTTTGTAGAGATCCCTGAATTAATCCCTGTTGGCTCTCCCATCCTCCTCGTCTCAGCTACAAGCTCCTCAGAAGTTACCTACGAGTTAAGAGAGGGAAACAGGGACGGCGTATTTTCTCTGAACTCATATTCTGGCCTCATCTCTACCCAGAAGAACTTGGACCATGAGAAAATCTCATCATACCAGTTGAAAATCCGAGGCAGCAACATGGCGGGCGCATCGACTGATGTCAGGGTGCTGGTTTACATAATTGATGAAAATGACAATGCGCCCATGTTCTTAAAGCCAGCGTTCGTGGGCCAAATTAGTGAAGCGGCCCCCTTGCACAGCATGGTCCTGGATGACAGCAACAGCCCCTTCGTGATTCACGCTGCCGACCGCGACAAGGAAGCCAATTCCTTACTGGTTTACCAAATTTTGGATCCGGAAGTTTTGAAGTGTTTCAAAATTGATCCCAGTATGGGAACGCTGACCATTATATCGGAGATGGATTACGAGAGCTTGCCCTCTTTCCAATTCAGTGTCTTTGTCCACGACCAAGGAAACCCCCTCTTATTTGCACCCAGGCCTGCCCAGGTCATCATCAAAGTGAGAGATGTGAATGACTCTCCTCCCGCGTTCTTAGACCCAGTATATGAGGTAGCAGTTGCTCAGCCCACCCATCAGGGGATGGAGCTCCTCACGGTACGGGCCAGTGACGATGACTCGGAGATCAACTATAGCATTAAAACTGGCAATGCTGATGAAGCTGTCACCATCCATCCCATCACTGGCCTCATATCGGTGCTGCAGCCTGCGGGCCTGGTTGTCTCTCGGGAGCTCACCATCAGGGCTTCCGATGGGCTGTACGAAGCCACTGCGCTGCTAAAAATCACGGTGACTCAAGCGCTCAACACGAGCCTCCGGTTTGACCAAACTGTCTACAAGGCAGCCGTGCAGGAGAACTTGCAGAACAAGACAGCACTGGTGATGCTTGGGGTCCAGGGAAATCACTTGAATGATACCCTTTCCTACTTCCTCTTGAATGGCACAGATAAGTTTTGCATGATCAGGTCAGCAGGGGTGCTGCAGACAAGAGGTGTGGCCTTTGACCGGGAGCAGGAGGACATTCATGTGGTGGCTGTGGAAGTGAGGGACAATCGGACCCCTCCGCGAGTGGCCCAGGCTGTCGTCCGAGTTTCTGTCGAGGATGCCAATGACAATCCCCCCCAGTTTCAGCATCTGCCCTACCACACGATCATCCAAGATGGCACGGAGCCAGGGGATGTCCTCTTTCAGGTATCTGCCACCGACCAGGATTTGGGGGTAAATGGGGCTGTCACGTTTGCATTTGCCGAAGATTACACATATTTCCGAATTGACCCCTACCTTGGGGATATATCACTCAAGAAGCCCTTTGATTATCAAGCTTTAAATAAGTATCACCTCAAAGTCATTGCTCAGGACAGAGGAAGTCCGTCCCTCCAGACTGAGGAGGAAGTCCTCGTCACCGTGAGAAATAAGTCTAACCCTCTGTTTCAGAGACCCTACTACAAAGTCAGGGTGCCTGAAAATATTACCCTCTACACCCCAATCCTCCATACCCAGGCCCGGAGCCCGGAGGGGCTCCGGCTCATCTACAACATTGTAGAGGAAGAGCCCTTGACGCTGTTCACCACGGACTTCAAGACCGGTGTCCTCACAGTGACAGGGCCGTTGGACTTTGAGTCTAAGACCAAGCACGTCTTCACGGTCAGAGCCACAGACACAGCTCTAGGGTCATTTTCTGAAGCCACAGTGGAAGTCCTGGTGGAGGACATCAATGATAACCCTCCCACTTTCTCCCAGTTGGTCTACACCACGTCAGTCTCCGAAGGCTTGCCTGCACAAACTCCTGTAATCCGACTGTTGGCTTCCGACCGGGACTCAGGGCGGAACCGTGATGTCTCCTATCAGATTGTGGAGGACGGGTCAGGTGTTTCCAAGTTCTTCCAGATCAATGGGAGTACGGGGGAAATGTCCACAGTTCAAGAACTTGACTACGAAACTCAACAACACTTTCATGTGAAAGTCAGGGCCCTGGATAAAGGAGAACCTCCCCTCACCGGTGAAACCCTGGTGGTGGTCAATGTGTCCGACATCAATGACAACCCCCCAGAGTTCGGACAACCCCAGTATGAAGCCAATGTCAGTGAGCAAGCAACCTGTGGACACCTGGTCCTCAAAGTCCAAGCGATTGACCCCGACAACAGGGACACCTCTTTCTTGGAGTACTTGATTCTTTCTGGCAATCAGGACCGACACTTCTCGATCGACAGCTCATCGGGGATCATTTCCATGCTCAATCTTTGCAAAAAGCACCTGGACTCTTCTTACCAATTGAAGGTGGGGGCTTCTGACGGTGTCTTCCGAGCGGCCGTGCCTGTGTACATCAACACCACGAATGCCAACAAGTACAGCCCAGAGTTCCAGCAGCCCCTTTATGAGGCTGAATTAGCAGAAAATGCAAGGGTGGGGACCAAGGTGATAGAGTTGCTAGCCATCGACAAAGATAGTGGTCCTTATGGCACTGTGGATTATACCATCATCAACAAACTAGCCGGTGAGAAGTTCTCCATAAACCCCAATGGCCAGATCACCACTCTGCAGAAACTGGATCGGGAAAACTCAACCGAACGAGTCATTGCTATTAAGGTCATGGCTCGAGATGGAGGGGGAAGAGTGGCCTTCTGCACTGTGAAGATCATCCTCACAGATGAAAATGACAACCCCCCGCAGTTCAAAGCATCTGAGTACACTGTGTCCATTCAATCCAATGTCAGTAAGGACTCCCCCGTTATCCAGGTGCTGGCCTATGATGCTGATGAAGGCCGGAATGCGGACGTCACCTATTCAGTGGACTCGATGGAGGACTTGGCTGAAGAGGTCATTGAAGTCAACCCAACCACAGGTGTGATCAGGGTGAAAGAGAGCCTGGTGGGGTTGGAAAACCGAGCCTTTGACTTCAAGGTCAAAGCCCAAGATGGGGGCCCCCCTCACTGGGATTCGCTGGTGCCAGTACAGCTTCAGGTGGTTTCTAATGAAGCTCCTTTGCCCAAGTTTTCTGAGCCATTGTATACGTTCTCTGCCCCTGAAGATCTTCCAGAAGGTTCTGATGTTGGACTGGTGAAAGCAGTGGCAGCCCAGGACCCAGTCATCTACAGTCTAGTGCAGGGCACCACACCAGAGAGCAACAAGGATGGTGTCTTCTCCTTGGACCAAAACACAGGCGTCCTAAAGGTGAGCAAGGCCATGGACTATGAGTCCACCAAATGGTACCAGATTGATGCCATGGCACATTGCCCCCATGAGGATACTGACTTGGTCTCTTTGGTCTCCATCAACATCCAAGTGAAGGATGTCAATGACAACAGGCCTATTTTTGAGGCTGATCCATATAAGGCCTTCCTCACTGAGAATATGCCAGTGGGCACCACGGTCATTCAAGTGACTGCCAATGACCATGACACTGGGAGTGATGGCCAGGTGAGCTACAGATTGGCCATGGACCCTGGCAGCAATGCCCATGAGCTTTTTGCCATTGACAGCGAGAGTGGCTGGATCACCACACTCCAGAAGCTTGACAGTGAGGCTCGACAGACCTACCACTTTTATGTGGTGGCCCATGACCACGGTCACCCGCTCCAGCTGTCTTCTCAGGCCCTGATCGAGGTTTCCATCACTGATGAGAATGACAATGCTCCCCGATTCGCTTCTGAAGACTACAGAGGATTTGTGGTTGAGAACAGTGAGCCTGGTGAGCTCGTCGCCACTTTGAAGACTCTGGATAATGATATCTCTGAAGAGAACAGACAGGTCAACTGTTACATCACAGGTAAGGATAGCTGTCTTACACAGAAAGCATGGGTTGTGTTGAAAAAGCTCAGTAAAGGGGGTGAGACCCGGCGCTGTCACTTATTAACAGTGTGACCTTGGGCAAGTCCTCTAGTACTTCAAGTTCTTCCAGTACCTCCGTTGTCCATCTACAGATGGCATTCTTGTTCTCATTAACCTCTCAAGGATGCTGGTAAATCTAACTGGAGAAATCCCTAGCGGCCCCTATTGTTACAGGTGGTGCAAAGAGAAGGTATATGGTTTAAAGTGATGTAAGTTGAATAGTAGGAATCTTGGTAATGCTTCAAGATAAGCCCTGGACTGCAACCTACAGGGTCGGTGGCTCAAAACCACCAGCCACTCCTTGGGAGACAAAGGAGGTTGTCTGCTCCTATAAAGGTTTACAGTCTCAGAAAACATACAAGTGGTTGTTATGGGTCAGGATCAACTCAAAGGCTGGATTTGGATTTAGATGGAATAGATTGGCAGCTTCCAAGAGGAAGAGAGATCAACAATTGTACAACCCATTGACACTGGCAGATGACTGGCTTTGTAGAGCAGTGTCCTGTTCAGTACAAATTGTAGAAGTAGGTAATACTTCTCAGTCCACCACAGGATGTAAACATTGACGTGACAGTGCTTCTTTAGATAAGGTTCCAGTCCAATCCTCTCATTTCTGTGATGGGGGAACCAAGGCTTATAGGAGTGGAAGCTCAGCCAATGTCACACCTGAGCTTGCATCAGGGCTGGGACTGAAACCACACCCCTCTTTCCTTAGTAACATCCTCTTGCACACATGAATGACCCACTCCCTTCCCAATGACTGGACCAGGCAACCAGAGGCCATGAGAGAGTTTCTTCACTTTTCAGCATCTTTTCCTTCCCCTCCTCGGGTGCATGGCATTCCATTCCATAGGCACGGCTCCATCACACTGTCTCGGGAAGAGCACATGAGTCTGAAGTTTCTACGATTCCAAACCCAAACCAAACTCACTGCTATCGAGTCGATTCCAACTCACAGCGACCCTATAGGACAGAGTAGAACTGCCCCGTGGGCTTCTGAGATTATAATTCCTCACAGGAGTAGCAAGCCAAAGACTACAGCCTTGAAAGCTCTAAGAGCCAGTCCTACTCAGTTCTACAGGGTCGCTATGAATCAGAATCAACTCAAAGGCAACCAGTTTTGTTTTCAGAAAGCCATTAAGGCAAATGTACCAATGTGCTTGACACATGCATGGATGGATGGATGGTGATAAGAGTTTTATGAGCCCCCAATAAAATGATTTAGAAAAAGAAAACAAAAAGCCATTAAGGGGTCCCTGAGTGGTGCAGATAACTAAGCACTTGGCTGCTAACCAAAAGGCAGGAGGTTCAAACTTACCCAGCGGCTCCTCAGAAGAAAGACATGGCAGTCCATTCCTCAGACCAGGAAGGGTCTCGATGGCAACTTGTGTTCCGGAAGGAAGTTTCACAGCAGGGGGCTCAGCAGTAGGCTTGCCCTCTCGCAAGGCAGACCTGGGTTTGATCCCTTGCCAACGCACTTCAAGCAAAGCAACCATCCGTTTCTCAGTGGTGGGTTGTGCGTTGCTGAACATTATGCGCCAAACAGGGATCCCTCTAAACTAAATCAGACTAGGAAGAAAGACCTGGCAATCCACTTCCGGAAAATTAGTCTGTGAAAGCCCCTGTGGATCACAGCGGCTCCAGCCGTAACCGATGATGGGGATGGTGCAGTCCTATTGGGCATGGGGGTCACCAAGAGTTGATGCCCCGTCATAACAGCTACTGAAAGCCATTAATGGAGAAATGTTTGTCTCTCCCAGAAATCCTAAGCAGATATTCTTTTTTCAAAAAATCATTTTATTAGGTGCTCATACAACTCTTATCACAATCCATACATCCATCCATTGTGTCGAGAACATTTGTACATTTGTTGCCCTCATCATTCTCAAAACACTTGCTTTCTACTTAAGCCCTTGGTATCAGCTCCTCATTTCTCCCCTCCCTCCCTGCTCCCCCCCCCCTCATTAACCCTTGATAATTTATAACTTATTATTATTTTGTCAAGTCTTACACTGTCTGATGTGTCCCTTCACCCACTTTTCTATTGTCCATCCCCCAGGGAGGGGGTTATATGTAGATCCTTGTGATCGGCCCCCCACCTTCCCCTTACCCTCTTGGTATTGCTAATCTCATTATTGGTCCTGAGGGGTTCATCTGTCCTGGATTCCCTGTGTTTCCAGTTCCTATCTGTACCAGTGTACATCCTCTGGTCTAGCCGAATTTGTAAGGTAGAATTGGAATCATGATAGTGGAAGGGAGGAAGCATTAAAGAACTAGAGGAAAGCTGTATGTTTATTTGTTGCTACACAGTGCCCTGACTGACTCGCCTCCTCCACGCAACTCTTCTGTAAGGGGATGTCCAGTTGCCTACAGATGGGCTTTGAGTCTCTACTCCGCACTCCCCCTCATTCACAATCATATGATTTTTTTGTTCTTTGATGTCTGATCCCTGATTCCATCGACACCTTGTGATCACACAGGCTGGTGTGCTTCTTCCATGTGGGCTTTGTTGTTTCTCAGCTAGATGGCCGCTTGTTTATCTTCAAGCCTTAAATCCCCAGATGCTATCTCTTTTGATAGTCGGGCACCATCAGCTTTCTTCACCACATTTGCTTATGCACCCATTTGTCTTCAGCAATCGTGTTGGGAAGGTGAGCATCATGGAATGCCAGTTTAATAGAACAAAGCGTTCTTGCATTGAGGGAGTACTTGAGTGGAGGCCCAATGTCTACTAAGCAGATATTCTTATGGTTTGGTTTCTGAAATCTCTGTGCTCTCTTTTTAGAGGGAGATCCCTTGGGCCAATTTGGCATCAGTCAAGTTGAGGATGAGTGGAGGATTTTCTCAAGGAAGACCCTGGACCGCGAGCTCATGCCCAAGTATCTTCTCAGCATTACAGCCTCTGATGGCAAGTTCCAGGCGTCAGTACCTGTGGAGATCTTTGTGCTGGACATCAATGATAACAGCCCCCAGTGCTCACAGGTGAGAACCCAACATTCTGTGCGTGGGAATGGATGCAAGCTTGGGGGGAAGATCTAGAGGAGGGAGAATGACTCAGAGGACCACTTCTGAGGTAGGTCATCATTGACCATACCTACCCTTACTGCCCAGCTGGCCTCAGACTCATGTGTGGAGCAAGGGTCATAGTAGGTGTTGTCAGGGTATCCAGCCCCTAACAAATCTTCACAGGCCCGGCAGACACAATTGTACAGTGATAATATGTAAAGGTTACAGTAAAGTCATAGAGAATAAGAGAGAGAGAAGAGAAAGTAAAATAAAGGAGTCCACCACATTTCATGGTACCTTGCTCACCCCCTGAACAGTCATGATCTCAACAGCCAGGTCCGCACACAGCTTGGGCAGAGAGGGCAGGAGAGAGAGCAATTTATTTCTAACCAAGGCTTATATATCTTTTGGGGGCGTGCAAGCACCCCAATTACAGTTAAAGACATATGTCACAGGATGGGGTTGTACTATAGGTAATACAATAATGGGAGAGGGCCAATCTAGGGGTGTACATGCTACAGGAAGAGGAGGGATTAAGGGTATACATGAGACAAGATGGGCGGATCCTAGATTCATGATGGCGGCCTCACCTTGATTGTCCTTGAGCTGGACACTTGATTTATTCTGAGCCCTTCAAGGAAAGCAATCCACTGTCCTAAGAGTAGGGAGTCAGCCCCGCCTACGGTGGGACAGAAAATAGGGTCTGCTTGCTCTGGATGGCTGATGCCTTCAGGGAGATACCTTGACAATCATTTACCATTAGCTGCAAGCAGAGTCCTAGGCCTGACATATATTTGGAAGAGAGAAGCTGGGGGAAAGTCTTTTTATATTCCACGGGTGATTCCTTCATTCCCACCAGATGTCACCCAGCTCTTCAGGACCATTAGTGTCCACCTCCCGTCCCACATTCCCCACCAGGCCCAAACCCCAAGGACAAATGCACTGCCGTTAAGTCAAGTCAGACTCACAGCAGCCCTCTAGAGCAGGTAGAAATGCTCTGTGGGCTGCCCAGATGGTAACTCTTTACGAGAGGAGAAAGCCTCGTCCTTCCCCGAGAGCGCCTGGTCTTTCAAACTGCTAATCTTTGGGTTAGCAGCCCAAGGTGTAACCCACTATGCCACCCGTGCCCCCACCCCTCCTTTGTAACCAAGCCCTAATCATCTGCAAAGCATATCCAGAAGCAAACACACGCTGCCATACGCAATGAGAAAGTCCGCCACCACTGCTCCACTGGTTGGCATGGCCCAATGTCATGAGACCTGCCCTGAGATGGCCCTCCACCCACCTCCACACGGCTGCAAGAGAAATGCAATGCATATTGCAGACAGACTCCTTCCGGGCAGGGCCATGCACACAAAAGCACAGGGGGCAGCTCCCTTTGGTGCAGGGCCCTGTCCTAAAGACCTTGTGTGAGTCAGGGCCAAACATGCTGAGGCACATGCTCCGGACCACATGGTGTGTGTGTGTGTGTGTGTGTGTGTGTAGGAATTATCTTCTCAGAGGACATCATTATTATATAACTTTGCTTAATTTTTTTTCTTTTTGTATATCCAATATTCTTAATTTGGGGAGATTTATGACCCCAAAATATTAATATTTTAGTTTAACATCAAAACTGACATATTTCAAATTTGAATAAAATGTAGTCATTCTGCACAGGTGTGCTGTTGTTAGGTACCTGCAAGTCCATTCTGACTCATAGTGACAAACTCAGTGTTTTGCTCAACAGTACAAAACACTGCTCGGTCCTCATAATCATTCCTGTGCCTGAGCCCATTGTTGCAGCCACCATGTACATGTATGTGTGTGTGTGTGTATATGTATATATATTTCCATGTCATTGAGTAGGCTCCGACTCACAACCACACAGTCATATGCACCATAGAAGGAGAAAATGTCTGGTCCTGTGCCATGCTCACAAGCCTTTGTATGCCCGAGCCCATTGATGTAGGCACTCTGTCAATCCCTTGAGCCCCTTCCCCTCCTTAACTGCCCCTCCACTTTTCCAAACATGATGTCCTTCTCCAGTGACTGATCCCTCTTGATAATATGTCCAAAGTATGTAAGATGAAGTCTTGCCAGCCTTGCCTCTAAGGAGCTCTCTGGTCTTACTTCTTCCAACACAGATGAGTTTGTCCTTTTAGCAGTCTGTGGTAATTTCAATATTCTTCCCCAGCACTGCAGTTCAAATGCATCGGTCTTCCTTATTCAGTGTCCAACTTTCACATACATGTGATGCAGTGGAGAATACCATGGTTTGGGTCAGATGCATCTTGGTCCTCAAAGTAACATCCTTGCTCTTCAGTACTCTAAAGAGGTCTTGTGCTGCAGATTTACATACATAAATGTACATTTATGCATATACACATGCACCCGCATACAGAGTATCATTTACAACCTACATGCTTACACCAGATGCCTATAAAACCATACATGTACACATAAGCATTTATATATATAGCCATAACTTCCATTCATGTGTACATCCACTCACACATGAAAATGTGCATTTATAGTACACACCCATCCACATACAAACATCATTACACACATTTTCTATATACATACCTCATAGGACAACATACTTTCCAAACATACTTCCACATAGATATTCATGTATATATGATGAGGAGGCTTTAAAAATTGATAGGGGAAAAATTCCATTATCTTTTCATTTCATTTTTTCCATGAACTTTCTGAAACGCCCTCCCTACACACACACACACACACACACA